TGCTGTATGCAGTAGTGTCTACAGCTGATCTGTCCTGCACCATGGTCTGGTACTGGCACTGCACACAGCATGAGGTAGCAGTGTATGCAGCCCACACCCTGGACATGCTGGACCAGCCCTGTGCACTGGCTCCAGTACATGAACAGCCGGAGGCCTGTTCTAGCTTCCAGGGCTGGTCTGGCAGGGTGCTGCATACAGCCTGTGCCCTGGACCTCCTGGCATTGCATATGGCACAAGGAGTCAGTCCTGAACCAGTCTGCAGACAAGCCTAGCAACACTCTTCTGACCCGTGGGGCTGAATGAGTTTGACATCCCTGCATTATAGTTAATGGGACATCTCTGAGTTTGGAGCCCGGTCAACTGTACTCGTTATCCTTGCTAGTTTTAGTAGACCATTCATAACAACTCAAGTAATTGTCCATAAGTATTTTAAAATACCAGATATTTTTACATGATATCAACTTAGTTAATTGTTTGCCTTGAACACAAGGGCAAAGGGATTTTTTTTTTTTTTTGGTTTTTGAAGGGAGAAAGTTCTTTTCCTTTTTTGTACTGCACAATGATGCCACAATTTCTATTTAGCATGGAACGATCTGATCACACGTGCTTTAGAAAATAAGCTTACACGTGCCAGAAGTAGCTTTCTTGGACATGGAAGCAGATGTTCTGTATGTTCCAGTAAGCAGTGTTGCTGTTATTTGAGTGATATGACATGTCTTGCAGCACTGCAGTAAAAATTCCACTTGGGTGCAATGTTCCCTTTTGAGTAGTCCTTCCCACAGAAGTATCAAAATGCCACCACACTTCTGAGTAATTGTACAAGCTGCAGGTTATACTGAATTTCTTTAAACTGCAGGCTTGGTGTTGCTTTTTCAGCAGGTGCTTTTAGTATAATTTGCTTCAAGAAAATCTACTAGGAAATAAAAGCTGCTTTTTCAAAAACTTTTCATTAGGAAACTCAAACATATTTAAAACACTGTGCTTGCTTGTGGGAGGTCTTTTTTTTTTTTTAATTGCCTATTGCAGGTATTAGGCTTGCTATAATTGGAATCTCCTTAATATAACTTTAGCAGCTGTTTGAAAGTTACATTAGCATTTGAAAATGTGCATTTTCTACTGTAGTGCAAGCCAATCCTTTATTTATTGTGGAGAATCACTTCAATATTTTAATTTGCACATTTGATACATTTTGTTTGGTTTTTTTAATGTTCCCAGTTGGTTGCACTGTCTTGGATGCTACCATGTCATTCCCCTGGTTAGAACAATTTAAAATATTGATTTCTCTTTATTATATTTTAATCTCATTTTACATACCTTAATTGAAGTTTTTCCTAGAGAGGTTCAATCTCATTTGTTGCAAACATTAAAACTTGTTTCTATGTAATTAAATGTACCCTTTATACATTTAAGTTGGCATTTCAGCTAGATAGGGACACTATATAGCTATAAAAGTTTGTGATTATATAAATTTAAATGTATTGTTTGTTTGTATTACTTAAGAAAATGGTAGAAATGGTAAATGATGCTTGCTTTTTTTTTTTTTTTTCTTTGGGGGGAAGCAGATTTGCAATTTGAGCCAAGATGCTTTCATATGGAAATTAGAATTTTAAAATACAAGGAGGTGTGGGGGTTTTTTATTGTACTAAAACTATATAAATATGCCCAATAATAGCTTTTTAATTATTTTGCTAAATCTAACTTCTGAAACAAAGGAGGCATTATTTGTAACTATTGAACTATGTCTGGTCCCTATTGAAAAGCTCAGTGACAACCTACTATAGTCCCCTTCAATGTGAACTAGGGTATGTTGATAAAAGTGTGAAAACCAACTCCTCTAAGGAATTGGAGAACTGAAGCAGTCAAGCTGGGAGAAGAGCAGGTACTGGCTGCACTACCACTCTACAGTATGCAGGAGCTGGCTTGGCAGGTTAGCTGGGATAGTAAACTTCATCCTACCCTTCCATCTATGGGCGGAAAAGAGCTTCAGCTGTTTTTAAGTATCTTGGGCTTTAAGAAATTAGTGGCTGACCTGTCGGGTCATTCAAGGGACTTTGACCATCATACCAAAACTCCCAGAGCCCTGTGTTTGGGTTCTTTCTTACATGTAGGGGTTTTTTTACACCGTGGCAGAAAATAAACTTCATAAAACCAAAGGAAACAGTTAAACTTCCCAACAGTCCTAGGATGTCCAAGAATAGGTTGTCATACCTAAAACAAATCTGGTCACTTGGTGAAGCTGACCATCTTTCAGTTGTCCCTTTTTATTCTAATACTTGTCAAGTAGCACACTTAGAAAAAGTTGATAACCAGTCATCATGTGAGTTATTCGACTTTAGGGCTTATCAAGTGTTGCTTTCACAGAAGCTTCAGGGAGTATTGTATATTCAGAAGTTTGAGTTAAACACGATTGACAAATTGTCTTATGCAAGTAGGAATTCACGATCTAAAATGTCAGTGTGTTCCTGTCAGAAGGTCATTGTATTCTCCATAAATTGCTGTAGTGGGTGGCTAATGAACAGATTTCCTTAATGTTGTTCCCAGGAATTTAATTAAATTTTCCTCAAATCATTAGCATATCATGTAAACTTTTATTCATTAAAATAGATATTTAAAGCATTTGACTTGTAGACATATGCATAATCCTTTGCATCAAACTAATTTATATTCAGTGACTTGCTTTAATCTAAAACGCATAGTTGGAATTCTTGATTGGCTTGGTTCATCTAAAAGAGAAGTTTGATCTTTCACCTGTTATAGATCATCTTATTTACTAATCATCTGTTCATTTTAAGACCAACTGAAACTTTTTTTAGTTTGCTATATACCCCCAAAGGGGCATCTAGACAAGCATGGACATGCAGTATGTGGCACTGCAGACCCATCTGCAGTGCCACATACCTCACATGCAGGCATTCCCCATTACATTGCAGTGCAGGATGGTTTTTTGACCCCAGAAGATCCCATGGTCAAAAAAAACCCACCCCGAAAAAAACCAGGGCAGCTAACATACTAGCCAAAACCAGAGCCTGGCCGGCCGCAGCCACAATCCCGGACAGCCAGGCTCTCTGCTGCAGGAGCGCCTCAGCTGTGCCTCCCCCAGGACCCCAGGTAAGGCGCTGAGGCAGCGCCCTGCTTCTTACTTGAAGCAACTACGCTGGCCCCAGCCTCCCCTATCCCACCTGAGGTAACCTGCCGTGTGGCATGGGCATTCCCTGGAAACAAGTAGCAGCGGCACAAGGTGTGCTGCTACTACTTGTCCCCAGGGAAACAAATGTTCCCACTCATCTGGACACGCCTGAAGTCCTTATGCTGAATTTCAGTTTGTCAGCCATCTTTCTGTGGCTGGCAGACAGATTTAGAAGCTATTAACTTAAATTCTGATCCTAATCCACAGTGATAAGCAATTGGCAAAACTGTATATCTAGCATGCTGTAACTGGATAGTGTTGGTTCTAGATATCATAGTGAGATGTTTGGTGTGGAAGTCACTGATAAATGAACAAGATAAAAACATAAGTAGTACCATACAGGGTCAGACCAGTGGTCCATCTAGCCTAGTATCCTCTCTCCAACAGTGGCAGGAATGGATGCTTTAGAGCAGGGGCAGGCAATTATTTTGGGCGGAGGGCCACTTATTGAGTTTTGGCAAGCCATCGAGGGCCACCCATGATAGGCATCCAGGGGCATATAAATATTAATTTTCTAAATTTTTTTTTTTTAGGGGCCCCGCGGGCCAGATAGAATGGCTGGGCAAGCCGCCTCCAGCCCCCTGGCCGCATTTTGCCCACCCCTGCTTTAGAGGGGGAGAGTTGAACGAGGTATAGCTGAAGTGGTCTGTCCCCTGTCATATTCTCCCTGGCATCCACCATCGTTGGTTAAGAGCAGGGGTGTCAAACTTGTCTTGCACCTCTGGCCAGATCTGGCCCACAAGAATCCTCTGGCTCCTTGCAAGCTGGATCCAGCCCTGCTGTACATAGCCGCAGCTCTAGCATTCAGCATAACCCCCACTGCATGCCCATTGCCAGAGCTGAAGCTGCTGGAGACACTGTATGCCCCATGCCACAGCGGCAGCTTTAGCTCTGGCGCTGGGCATACAGCAGCAGTGGCTCCAGCATAGTGGGGGCAACGAACCAGGCCCATGGCAATGTGCGAAGCAACCAGGGCTGTATCAGCCGTCACTTGACTTCCTGATGCCAATTACCATGTCTACCAGAGTCCAAGTACCCTGAATTTTGTGGCAGGCCTTGCCCCCCAATTTCTGGTGGCCTGCCATTAGCCCAGCTGGCTGGATTTAAACCATTAGCCATATGTTTGATAGCAATTTCTCTCTAAATTAGGGGTAATTCTTAGTTCCCACTAGAAGCAGGAAAGGAAAAGATTCTGAGGCAGAAACTACAAGACCAGACAGTGGCAATGTGCCACAGATCTATTGTCTGGAATTTGCCTAGTCCCTTGTTGAACCTAGCTGTACTTGTCTGCCTCTGCAGCCTCCAGCGGTAATGAGTCCTACAGATTAACCAAGTGCTACATAAAAAGTACTTTATCATGTTAGTTTTAAATCTTGTTTCCTGCTAATTTTAGTGGCTTGCTTCTAGTTTTCTGGGACTTGGTGAATAACAGTTTCCTGTTCAATTTGTTCACAACCTTCATGATTTCATACACATCTGTTATACCCCTTTCTCTTTTTTTCCATACTGAAGAGTCCTAGTCTTTTTAATCTCTCTTGGTGTGTCCACTGCTCCATAACCTTGATCACCTTGTCTGATCCTCTCTGTACTACCTACTTGCTTTTATTGGAGAAGTGCACTTTTTCCTGTATCCCATAGCATTTGTGCTGTTTAACTAGTCCTTTAAGTAAAATTTCAGGGAAATTAGGAGCATGTTACTGATAGATTTGTTAACTGGCTCTTATAGTAATGCTTAAAAATAGGTGAAGGATTGGGATTTCAATAATTCACTTTTAGTCTTAAAAATTCCTTCAATATTTATCTTTTACTGTAGGTAAGCAAGTGAGAACCAAACTGTCACAGGCCTTTAATCACTGGCTGAATGTTCCAGAAGACAAAATACAGGTATTAGTTTTATTTATTTTTTTTTAAGTTGTTTGGATTTTTCTGGGGTGGTATTTTGTTTGTTTATTTTTTAATTTAACAGTACAAAAAGTGTTCACTTGGATGGCCTGAAAGGTATTTCTGACTCTTGCATTTCACAGTTAAAGATGCTAAAAAGCAAGGTTATTGAAAAACATTCTTTTAGGATTTGAGGTCTTGAATTTGGAGTTCACAAAGGAGAAAATCTGTTTGTTCTTGCTCAAAATAGTTTGAAGTAAATAAAAAATACATTACGACAAAGTGTGTTTTTTGGTTTGTTTTTTTTTTCAAAATTGCAATTAAGAAGCTCTCACTGTCATACTTTTAGTGAATTCATGTTGATCCTCCCTTTTGTCTGAGAAACTAGCTAAGTGTCTAAATATCACAAGCTGGATGGATTAGAATACCAGTTATTGTTTGATTTATTTCTTGTAGAAATAGCAAGCCAGCAGCTGTATGGAGTTCTTAGTGACTATTTGCGCATTTTTCTGTCTGTCTTGTAGCAATATCCTTTAAAGCAGCATTTGCCAAACTTTTTTGGGGTTTATGTCCCACTGCATTAAATCAACCACTTGCACATTTTAGCCACCAAACTTTATTCAGCACTTTTTCACTGTCATGGACAGTGGATTTGTTGGATACTGTTTTGCTTGTGGTCACTCCCTCCCCCAAAACTCTTTTCTAGCACACCCAAGGGGGCATTCCCTACAATTTGAGGAAACACTGCTTTTAAAGAATAAGGTGTTAGGGTTGAACAATTCTCAACTTCCATTCAGATTTTATAGAGGCTGTCTTGGGCCTGAGAACATCTGTTTTTTGAATGTTCAGCTTGCTTAATGGTTGTTCCACAGGTACCCTAGACCAGAGCTTTCCAAACTTTTCATGTTGGTGACACACTTCTTAGACATGCATCATTTTGCGACACAGTAATTCAGTTCCGGGGGAGGGGCCAAGGGAAGCAGACGTGAGTAAGGGAGCTCCGCGGTGCCCTTCCGCAAAATTTTCTGCATTTCGCGCGACACACCTACACACTGCCGCCGACACACAGTTTGGAAAGCTCTGCCCTAGACGGTAAAAGGCTTTCAGTTAAGTTATGCAAGCTGCATTTTTGCTCTGTTCTTTCCTGGGCAGCCTTTCCTTCTAGTCTCCATTACTTATCCATCTGACTTCACCTTGTTTGCTCATTCTGGGCCCCTGTTAACTCTTTCAATCCCTGTCAGCTGCTTCTGTCCACCCTTCATAAGCAGCTATGGTAGGGGCTCTGTTTTGAAAAGCATGCATTAAGCTCCAAACAATATTTTTGTGCACAACATGCAAACTTGTGTATGTACTTCTGTGCACATGACTTCATTTCGATAATATCCTAAAATGTTGCCCTAATACCTACATAATATGAATAGCATGTATGTATCTCGCATTCCTTAGTGAGTACACTTCAGTTTCAAATCTGATTTCTGATTCAGCAGCAATTAAGAAAACCGGAACAATGTGTTTCAGGTATACCACATTTCCCTGGGCAACTTGTCCCAAATTTTTCAGGGATTTAGTGCTGTGGCGCAATGTGTAGAATTTTCAGGCAATCACTTTTGGGTTTTGAAGTCAAAGTAGGTTTGAAAATACTGGATGGAATAAGATGATAGTTTTACAATTCACTATGGAGCAACTACTGTACTTCAGTTGAAATCCCACAATAGCAGAAAACCTTGGAAGACAGGGTTGTCTGCAGCATTCCAGTCTTCCTATTGAGCATCTCTCTAGCTTCTGTAAGATGAGAGAGGTAGTTAGCCATGTTAGTCTGAAGTCGAGCAGAATGCAGGTTAGATTTGCACCTCTTATAGATCAGCTGATGAAGTGAGCTTGTGGGGAAAAGGTGTGTGTGAACCTGTGTGTATCATATATTCTACTTTGGTTTGTCTGTAGTGCATATCTTCTCTTCCTTTTTTCTGTAGGATGTCCCATGGTGCTAACTTCTCAATCACTGCAGTCTGTCATCTTCTGAGATTTTACCATTACGTGGCTATCACTGTTAAGGCAGAAGCCAGGGTAGATATGTACTTACAGGCTAACTAAATTAGAGAGGTATAGCATGAACTTTCATCAGCCTAAGCTCACTTCATCAGATGATGTGCTGTAGCTCATACTATACACTTCTGACTTCTGCGGGACTTCAGACTAATGTGGCTAACTACTTCTGTTGCTTCTGAGTCACTGATGATAATCAAATTACATGTCCTGCTAAAGTAAGTTGGCTTCATTTCAGGTTCCTTTACCAGGCAGCTGACTAGCTGTCATTTCTCCTTGAAAAATAAGCATTAAACATTCCACTTCCTTTCATTTTCTGTACGTGGCTAAAGCATCATGCTTGTTTAGTGATGCCTTCTTCACTTGCATCTCATGTCTCAAAGTCATCTTACAGTGACTTTGTCACTACTGCTTGTGTACTAAATTAATCTGTGAGTGTGATTTCTTCTACCCTCTTTACAAACCACTGCCATATCTTTTCTTTAGGGGTTTCCCCAGACACTAGGTGTCTGACTCCAGACTTTGAAAAAATTATCTTTTTGTTTCTGAGGTATGAAAATATTACATCTACCAAATCTGTCTGGTTTTCCTGGCTACATGGTTTTTGTCAAGATCCAGTTGAAATCTGTTCCATTTAAATCAAAACCAGACACAAAAACCTCTGTGGTGTTGTTCTAGCTTGCACTGTAAACCACTTCCTCTGTATCAGGGGTGTCAATCTCGTCCCATGTGGGCCCCCTGTGCTGTAGCATGCAGCACATGCACCCAGTCCAGCCCAGTGGTGTGCAGGCTGGATCTTCTACCATGGGCGTTGTATGCAGCATAGAAGATCTGGAGTGTGGGCAGCATGTAGCATCCTGCTGGCTTGGCCCTGCACATTGACTCCAAGGATCAGATCTCAGGCCATCCATTCATGCTGGAGCCAGCATGCAGGGCCAGGCCAGCAAGATGCTATGTGCAGCTTGCACCCCATGTCAACCCTCTGTGTCACATGCAGAGTAAGCCCCAGAGTGAGGCTTGTGCTTGTGGCATAGGGTATGTGGTGCCCCAATCCAGACTGGCCTGGAGACATCACTCAGATCCAGTCTGGTGTGGATGCTACAGGCAGTGGTCTGGACCAACTTTCTCCACCCCCCACCCCATGACACTGGGTCTGGCATGCAGGGTCTGTCCAAGATGCACAGGTCAGTTCCAGACCATGGGCTATATGTCTGATACCCCTGCTTTATGCCCTATGGTTCACAAACTCACAAAAGTGCCTCCTCTACCACTCATACTGTCTAAATTGGTTTCTCTGACCCTGAACCGTATCTCCCTGGCCACGTACCTTTTTGCCTTTTTCTCTGCTTCTTTACTTTGTTTTGAACTAGTTTGTAGTCCGTTTGAATAACATTTCGTTTCGCTAATCAAGGGAGATGACCCAGATTTTTAAAATATCTCACTGAATTAAATGGTTATGTCGATCATTAATGACTTCTTGACAATCTTAATCAGGCTTTTGGTTGAACTGTCTGAAGCTTATATAGCAGATGAGTGAAACTGAAAAGGCAAAAGGAAAATAAGTTGACAGTTAAAATGCAGAACAATAGGATTGTGCAGGGAATGCAAGAAGTTCATGACGCCTTACAAGCATAAAATGTTTTTGCTGGATTTCCAATAGCACATTAAGAGAGTCTTTGTAACTAAAGATGACCAGTGATGTCATTTCAAGATGTTTACGTAATGTCGGGGTTTAAATTATGGGGGAGTTCAGGGGTGCTAAGCCCCCCTATAAGACTTGAAAATCATAACAGGGTGGGGGGGACACAACTTTGATTTTATTAGGGCATTGTGATAGGTCGCCCAATCTTTTTTTTTTTTGTCGCCCCTCTTTTTTTTTTTTTTTTTACCCCACCCCCCCCCCCCCCCCCCAGTCAAAGTATAATTCGAACCCTGTGTAATGTTAGTACTTTTGGAACAAAATTACTTTTTGCACAGCATCTTTTGGGGTCAAAATACTATTACTCTGTAACTGGCTTTAGTGTTTAACAATGTTAAAAAGTTCTGTTATTGTCATGCGCACAGTTTGAATTTAACACTTGTATGAAATGCAAACTCTTTTTTTCCTGTGCAGGTCTTATCTAATGTAAAGCAGAATTGATGTTCAATAAACAACACTAAAATTGGGCAGGGACCTTCTTTGCTGATGCTTGGTCCTTCTTTATGATGGGGACTCCCAGGTGCTAGTTCAACAATTAAGTCCTTGCAGCTTTTCAGAAGAACCACTTGGGAAGAAGCCAGAACACTTCCTCTTTAATGTGTTTTTTAAAACCTAGCATGAAGGTCCAGTTACCTGGCATAACTTCATAGTTAATGACATAAAAAAAATTATATTTATTTTCAAATGCAAAAATTGCATACATTTTCTGTTTTTGTGTGTAATACAGCATTCCAAATGTGCCTTTATGTCTGTTTATTGAAAACTGATGGCTCTCTGCTTATTGGAAAAGTAGCTGTTGTAGATTTTTTTTTTTTTTAATTAATTTGAGTCCAGTTGTATAGATCTGCTGTGGGCAAGACACTATCTTGCAGTATTCTTGACCAAGAGTTACTTGAGTCAAAATTGTTTTGTATAAATTACTAAGTTGTCTATATGACTAAAGTTATCAAAGTTTGTTGTATACCAACAAGAGAATTAAGAAGTGGGGGGGAGGGGAAGATCTCTGATGGGAAAACTAAAGAATATAGTCCAAAAGCAGGTGATAAAAAAGCCAGTGATAGAACTGTACTTGGTGGGTTTTTTGTTGTGTTTTTTTTTTTTTTTTTTTTTCCTCGACCAGACATCTAATGTATTTATAGTGAAGCAAATGAATATTTCAGTTTGTACAAACAGTTTTGCTTGGACATTGTTTAACCACAACACTTCATGCCCTTTATTTGCAGTTCAAAAGAAGAATCTAAGAAATCTTACACAGAATGTACCTGTTTCTTGGATAGATATTGTCTACAGCAGGGTTGGCTAACCTGTGATTTTATTACTTAAGCAGTGTGGTTTAGTATTTGACAAATGGGTAAGATGCAGTGCAGACCTTAGAAATGTTAATAACATGGTAAATATTTCAGTTTACCTGCTAGTAAAGTAACAATCCACTTTACAAAACTGTCAGATGGCAAAAATATATTGGTGGCTAGAGATCTTTGGATAAGAAGTTGTTCATTAATTCTGTGATGTGCTAAGAACTTCCCAGATGCTCCAAAAAGAATGGTCCTTGCTATAAAGAGCTCACAGTTTTAAAGATGAACAGAAAAGTTGGAGGGAAGGGGGATGATAACCTTGCCATGTATGTCTGTCTTAAGAACAACATTGGAAATTCCAAGAACTGATTTTTGTAGAGGCCTTTGAACTAATTTTAACCTGTCATAGATTCATATTGCCTAATCTTACCCGTTTTATGTTTTTACCCTCAACTATTACTTCAGTAGCTTTTACATTCAGAGATGGCAGTTAAAACTAGCTCCAAATAGTGGGTGTTAATAATAGAGAGGGTAGGGGGAAGTGAGAAAATTGTGGATAACTATCTTATCAGCTTTTAGCCATTAACGTAAACACCTTTTTGAAGAATCGCTCTCATGTTAGAAAATGGAGCTGTTAAGAACTAAGGCAAGAGAAGTGCAGATTACCACACGAGTTGTAGCTGTCACAGATTTAGGTGCAGTTTATAAAGATTATACCAAGATCACTGGGAATTAGGGGAATGTACAGGAAAGTTACTTGTGTATAGACTAAAAAGTATATCCAACCATAACAAAGTATCAGTTATACGCCTCTCTTGGGAATATGCATATAAAATGCCATAGAAATCCAGCCCTGCTTGGAGTTTTATTATCGTTCATGCCCTTTAAGGCCAAAGTTATTTCAGCTAACGGCAAAGGAGCCTCTAAAATTTTCTTCTCCAACTCTGAAATTTGTTGTATGGGTACAAAGTCCAAAAAACTATCCATTTCCTCACTAGTAACGTTCAGATTCTTGGTGTACACATTAGAGTAAAACTGACTGAACCGTTGGCTGATTTGTCTCCCTGTCATAGATATCATAGATATTAGGGCTGGAAGGGACCTTGCAAGATCATTGAGTCCAGGTCCTTTCCAGCCCTAATGTCTATGATATCAAAGAGAATCAACTTGGACCAGAGACTTTCAGTACTCCCAAAACATGTTTGTTTGGGGTTGTTTGTTTGGTTGGGGTTTTTTTTTGGGGGGGGGGGGGGGGTTCGTTTTGGGGTTTTTGCTGGTTTTTTGTTTGTTTGGTTGGGTTTTTTTGCCTTGAAATCTACTTCCCTTCCCCACTCTGTGCCATCGCTCTGACTTATAATGTTGTGTCAGGTCTGTTATGTGACTATTCAGGACTAGAATAGAGACTTTAGTATCCATATGACAATCCCAGTAGAATTTGGCATTTTACAATATTCAACCATCAACGGTTGGTCTTGGACTGTGTTATATACAACAAAAGGTATTTGTTTGTTTGTTTTTAAGTCTGCACTGGGTTCCCTCTAAACTTTAAAAAATATTAAGTATACTGCCAGAGATGCATGTTGGAGATGCACAGGATATTCTGCAAATTTAAAACCCATTTTCCATCACAAGAATTAATTATTTTGTTTCTCTTTTTGTATTAGGTTATCATTGAAGTGACAGAGATGTTGCACAATGCCAGCCTGCTTATAGATGATATTGAAGATAACTCAAAGCTACGGCGAGGCTTTCCAGTGGCCCACAGCATCTATGGAGTTCCAGCTGTAATAAATTGTGCTAATTATGTATATTTCCTTGGCCTAGAGAAGGTTTTAACACTTGATCACCCAGATGCAGTAAAAGTATTTACCCGTCAGTTACTGGAACTTCATCAGGGCCAAGGCTTGGATATTTATTGGAGAGATAATTATACCTGTCCCACAGAGGAAGAGTATAAAGCCATGGTACTACAAAAGACAGGTGGTCTTTTTGGACTAGCTGTGGGCCTTATGCAGTTGTTCTCCAAGTATAACAAAGACTTAAAACCACTCCTGAATACTCTTGGCCTCCTCTTCCAAATAAGAGATGACTATGCTAATTTACGGTCAAAAGAATATAGTGAAAACAAGAGTTTTTGTGAAGACTTAACTGAGGGCAAGTTCTCATTTCCAACTATTCATGCTATTTGGTCCAGGCCTGAAAGCACTCAGGTGCAGAATATTTTGCGTCAAAGGACAGAAAATGTAGACGTTAAAACCTATTGTGTACAATACCTTGAGACTGTGGGTTCCTTTGAGTACACACGGCAAACTCTGAAAGAGCTTGAAGCTGAAGCATATAGACAAATTGAATTACTTGGAGGGAACCCTGAGCTTGTAGCTCTAGTTGAACACTTAAGCAAAATGTTCAGAGATGACAAAAATTGACCCATAATTTATTTGACACTTGCTTTGGGGCTGAAGGGGAATTATTTTAAAACGGAATTTTAAAAAAAGACATTACTAAAATAATGTCATAAGTGTGGAAATGCTTATTTCACATTTATTTATATTTTGCTTCCTATGATTATATTGAACACAGTTCAAGGTTGCTTTGAGGGTATTGGAATGAAGTGCAAATGATCACTGTCACTTAATTGGAACTATCTATGAAATATCTCGTACAGAAATAAAGTTGCATAGATCCGGTAAAACCCGACACTAACAATATTGTCTCCCCTATATAGTCAGGGTGGTGGTGAGGGAGCAGGGGTGTTTATTTTAGCCATAAATTTAATTGACTTCTGGTAACTGTTAGATAAAGTCTGACAATGTGGGTTTCTGGCTATACTGCTATATTAAACTGAATCATCTTCCTTAAGTTGCCTATGCATTGTTTTATTTTATTTTTTTAAATGGTGAGATTGGGTAGAATTTTATAAAAGATTCCTTAACACTCACAATAACACAGATTTGACAATACTCATTTTTTATATGGTATCAATAGATTTTTGTTACACAGAACATGGAAGGAACAGACAAACCAGTTTTATCAAATAACTGTGAAGGTATTCTTTTAAGATTTACAGATTGTAACTTGACCAGGAGTGTACCAACAAAGGATATATACACAGTCCTACAATTCTTCACTTCCTGGGTGGCTGTGGATGTTTCACATACAAAGGGGACTTACTTTCTAAAGAAGGAAACAAACAAAACTAAACAAAAAAAAGCACTAAGCAGAGACATAAAGAAGCAAGAGCTGTAAACCTTTGTGGGGACTAGGTACCTGATTTCAGGAAAAAAACCTCATGATTTCAAAGCTGCTGTTATTGTCAGACCAAAACAAAAGGAAAATTCCTGCAAAAGAAGCTTCTAAAAATCATGTATTAGGTCAACCAGATCAGCACAATTTGACATTGAGGTTTCAATAGATGAGGCTGTAAAGGAAATTTATAACCAAACAAGCAAATCACCAAGACCTGGTGGGTGCCTCTATACAAGATGCTTTATTGCAGAGTAGTGTAGTTTACTGGGCAGTAAGCATGTGCATCTAAGCTGTTGTGTGATTACCTCTGTGTACACTACACAAATGCATGTAAATCTGGACAAAAATATTTTTTTTAAACCAACACTAATGAATGTTGTAGATGTTCAAATTTTAGAATATAATTTGGTATTTTTCTGGTTCCAAGAAGTCCTTCCCCTTGCTGAAAGGAGTATTTCCAGTGGCAAGGGGAGGGACTTCTGGTGGCAAAGGCTGGGTGCTAGGGGGTGGGAAATCCAGTCCCAAGATGGCATCCAGGGTGTGGGGCACCTGTCAAGGGGCAGGGCTACCCATGCGGCCCTCGACAACTTGCCAAAACTTGGTAAGTGGCCCTCCACCTGAAATAATTGCCTGCCTCTGGGCTAGGCCTATTCAGCTTGAAAGAAAGACATTTGAGGGGAGACATGATAAGGGTTTACAAAATACTAAATGGTAAGGAGAAAATAAATAGGGATTTATTTGTTATCTCTCTCACAATACAAGAACTAGGGGTCATAAAATGAGTTAACATAAAATAAGTTTTAAACTTATTACCCACTCATTACGAGTAGGTAATAAGGTTAAAACTAACAAAAGGAAGTTCTTTTTCACATTAATTCAAGTGTGGAACATGTTGCCCCCAGATGTTGAAGCTGATAGCTTACCCAGATTCAAACAGATTGGAAAAATTACTGGAGGAAAGGGGCATCAGTAGCTATTGAGCACGAGAGTTGGGGATACAACCTTTAAATCTGAGCGTTCTGGACTTTAAATGCTAAAGACTGGAAGTGAGAGAGAAACAGTAGAAAAAAACTGTTGTCATACCCAGTTCACTGTCCCTCTCCGTGTGATACAGGATACTGTATAAGATGGACCTATAGTCTGACCCAGTAAATGCCAATTCTTATGTTCTAAAAATGTGGATTTAATTTTCTTTTTTCACACTTTCCATTTCTAAATTATAAACATTTTTAATATCTTTTGACGAGACTGCTATTTTACCTTTTTTTTTTTTTTTTTTTTTTAATGTTTCAGCATTCCTGAAATCCTTCCAAGTTTGTTTGTATGGGTTTGTTTGGTTATACTGCCTTTTGCAAAAAATGTTTCAGTGAAATGGTTCCTTTTTTAATGAGGGAAAAACAATTGAGGAGATCCTGGAGTCAAAAAAAGTGGGGCAGTGCATGTGACGGCAACATGCACTGTCCAAATTCATAGCCTGCTAAGTCTGGCCAGCCAGAGCCACACTCCAGCTGCCAGCCAGCCTTCCTGCCATGGCTGCAGCTCCCTGAGACCCCCCAGGAACTGAGGTAAAGCTGTTGGGGACAGCACAGTTGCTGGCCCCATCCTCCCCTACCCCCACCTGAGGTAATCTGCGCACCAGAGCATGCATGGCAAGGTTATTCCCCAGGGACAAGTAACTACTTGTCCCCAGGGAAATAAATGTCTGCACTCAACTGGATGTGCCCTGTGAGTGAACTTCTAGCTAGATTAAGTGAATTATTATACAGGGTCTAGAATTAAAGAAAAAATTTTGCAATTCCACAATTAAGACTCCAAGGGTGCGTCCAGATGAACGCGGACGTGCAGCATGCAGCGTCACAGACCCATCTATGGTACTACCCACTACACAGGCAGGCATTCCCTGTGCTGCTAATTTGCAGTGTGGGGGGTGGGGTTTTGACATTGGGAGATCCTAGGTGGGGGGAAAAAAAGAAGTGGGATGGCACACATGGTGGCAACCTGCACTGCCCAAAATGAATCCGATTGGCCAGAGCCATACTGTAGCTGCTGGCCAGGCAGAGTGCTGGGTTCAGATGACCCCAGCCAGATGCCCATCTAAACTCCTCTTAAAGACCCCCAGGGTAGGAGAGAGCACCACCTCCCTTGGGAGCCCATTTCAGATTTTGGCCACTCTAGCTGTGAAGTTCCTCCTAATGTCCAGTCTAAATCTGCTCTCTGCTAGCTTATGGCCATTATTTCTTGTGACCCCCAGGGGTGCCTTGGTGAGTAGAGCCTCACGGATTCCCTTCTGCACCTCCATGATGAATTTATAGGCAGCCACAAGTTTGCCTCTCAACCTTCTCTTGCGGAGGCTGAAGAGGTCCAGGT